CTGACGGAAACATGGATCACCACTGAAAACACCGCTACTCCTACTGCTCTCTCCTCGTCTGACCATGTGTTCTCGCATACCCCGAGAGCATCTGGTCAGAGGGGTGGTGGTACAGGAATCCTCATCTCTCCCAAGTGGACATTCTCAATTTTTCCCCTAACCCATCTGTCTATCTCCTCATTTGAATTCCATGCTGTCACAGTCACTAGCCCATTTAAGCTTAATATCCTTGTCATCTATCGCCCTCCAGGTTCCCTTGGAGAGTTCATCAATGAGCTTGACGCCTTGATAAGTTCCTTCCCTGAGGATGGCTCACCCCTCACAGTTTTGGGGGATTTCAACCTCCCTATGTCCACATTTGACTCATTTCTCTCTGCCTCCTTCTTTCCACTCCTCTCCTCTTTTGACCTCACCCTCTCACCGTCCCCCCCTACTCACAAGGCAGGCAATACGCTTGACCTCATCTTCACTAGATGCTGCTCCTCTACTAATCTCACTGCAACTCCCCTCCATGTCTCCGACCACTACTTTGTTTCCTTTTCTCTCTCACTCTCCTCCCACACTACTCACTCTGCCCCTACACAGATGGTAATGCGCCGCCGCAACCTTCGCTCTCTCTCTCCCACTACTCTCTCCTCTTCCATCCTATCATCTCTTCCCTCTGCTCAATCCTTCTCCCTCCAATCTCCTGATTCTGCCTCCTCAACCCTCCTCTCCTCCCTTTCTGCATCCTTTGACTCTCTGTGTCCCCTATCCTCCCGGCCGGCTCGGTCCTCCCCTCCAGCTCCGTGGCTTGATGACTCATTGCGAGCTCACAGAACAGAGCTCCGGGCAGCGGAGCGGAAATGGAAGAAAACTAAACTCCCTGCCGACCTGGCATCTTTTCACTCCCTCCTCTCTACATTTTCTTCATCTGTTTCTGCTGCTAAGGCCACCTTCTACCACTCTAAATTCCAAGCATCTGCCTCTAACCCTAGGAAGCTCTTTGCCACATTTTCCTCCCTCCTGAATCCTCCCCCCCCCCCCCCCCCCCCCCCCTCCTCTCTCTCTGTGGATGACTTCGTCAACCACTTTGAAAAGAAGGTTGACGACATCCGATCCTCGTTTGTTAAGTCTACTGACACTGCTGGTCCTGCTCACACTGCCCTACCCTATGCTTTGACTTCTTTCTCCCCTCTCTCTCCAGATAAAATCCTGCGACTTGTGACTACAGGCCGCCCAACAACCTGCCCGCTTGACCCCATCCCCTCCTCCCTTCTCCAGACCATCTCCGGTGACCTTCTCCCCTACCTCACCTCGCTGATCAACTCATCCTTGACCGCTGGCCATGTCCCTTCCGTCTTCAAGAGAGCGAGAGTTACTCCCCTTCTCAAAAAACCAACACTCGACCCCACTGATGTCAACAACTACAGACCAGTATCCCTTCTTTCTTTTCTTTCCAAAACTATTGAGCGTGCCGTCTTTAGCCAACTCTCTTGCTATCTCTCTCAGAATGACCTTCTTGATCCAAACCAATCAGGTTTCAGGACTGGTCATTCAACTGAGACTGCTCTTCTCTGTGTCACGGAGACTCTCCGCACTGCTAAAGCTAACTCTCTCTCCTCTGCTCTTGTCCTTCTAGACCTGTCTGCTGCCTTTGATACTGTGAACCATCAGATCCTCCTCTCCACCCTCTCCGAGATGGGCATCTCCGGCGCGGCTCACTCCTGGATTGCGTCCTACCTGACCGGTCGCTCCTACCAAGTGGCGTGGCGGGAAGCTGTCTCCGCACCACGTGCTCTCACCACTGGTGTCCCCCAGGGATCGGTTCTGGGCCCTCTCCTTTTCTCCCTATACACCAAGTCACTTGGCTCTGTCATATCCTCACATGGCCTTTCCTATCATTGCTACGCTGACGATACACAACTAATCTTCTCCTTTCCCCCTTCTGATAACCAGGTGGCGAATCGCATCTCTGCATGTCTGGCAGACATATCAGTATGGATGACGGATCACCACCTCAAGCTGAACCCTGGCAAGACGGAGCTGCTCTTCCTCCCGGGGAAGGACTGCCCGTTCCATGATCTCGCCATCACGGTTGACAACTCCGCTGTGTCCTCCTCCCACAGTGCGAAGAGCCTAGGCGTGACCCTGGACAACACCCTGTCATTCTCCGCCAACATCAAGGCGGTGACCCGCTCCTGCAGGTTCATGCTCTACAACATTCGGAGAGTGCGACCCTGCCTTACACAGGAAGCGGCGCAGGTCCTGGTCCAGGCACTTGTCATCTCCCGTCTGGACTACTGCAACTCGCTGTTGGCTGGGCTCCCTGCCTGTGCCATTAAACCCCTACAACTCATCCAGAATGCCGCAGCCCGTCTGGTGTTCAACCTTCCCAAGTTCTCTCACGTCACCCCCCTCCTCCGCACACTCCACTGGCTTCCAGTTGAAGCTCGCATCCGCTACAAGACCATGGTGCTTGCCTATGGAGCAGTGAGGGGAACGGCACCTCTGTACCTTCAGGCTCTGATCAGTCCCTACACCCAAACGAGGACATTGCGTTCATCCACCTCTGGCCTGCTGGCTCCCCTTCCTCTGCGGAAGCATAGCTCCCGCTCAGCCCAGTCAAAACTGTTCGCTGCTCTGGCACCCCAATGGTGGAACAAGCTCCCTCACGACGCCAGGACAGCGGAGTCACTCACCACCTTCCGGAGACATTTGAAACCCCACCTCTTTAAGGAATACCTGGGATAGGATAAAGTATTCCTTCTAACCCCCCCCCCCCCCCCATCCAAATTGTAAAGTGGTTATCCCACTGGCTATAGGGTGAACGCACCAATTTGTGAGTCGCTCTGGCTAAGAGCGTCTGCTAAATGACGTTAATGTGCCCTTGAGCAAGGCACTTAACCCTAATTGCTCCTGTAAGTCGCTCTGGTTAAGAGCGTCTGCTAAATGACTAAAATGTAAATGTAAAAAAATGTAAATGTTTTTAATCAGCAGGGACTGGGAAACTGGTCAGAATTGAAGGAATGATGGATGGCGCTAAATACAGGGAAATTCTTGAGGGAAACCTGTTTCAGTCTTCCAGAGATTTGAGATTGGGACGGAGGTTCACCTTCCAGCAGTACAATGACCCTAAGCATACTGCTAAAGCAACACTTGAGTGGTTTAAGGGGAAACATTTCAGTTTTTTGGAATGGCCTAGTCAAAGCCCAGACCTCAATCCAAATGAGAATCTGTGGTATGACTTCAAGATTGCTGTTCACCAGCGGAACCCATATAACTTTAAGGAGCTGGAGCAGTTTTGCCTTGATAAATGGGCAAAAGACTTGAAGCTGTAATTGGCGCAAAAGGTGGCTCTACAAAGTATTGACTTTGGGGGGGGGGGGGGGGCTAGTTGGGGGTGAATAGTTATGCACGATCAAGTTTTCAGTTATTTTGTCTTATTTTTTGTTTTTTGTTTTCCCAGAAGTGATTAGAGTCTATGGACTCTTCAATTACATTGAGCTGATTTCTGACATGCTGTTCCTTCTTTTCCATAGTGTATTTCTGTATTGTTTTAGTGATTCACCATAGTGAAGGCGTAGGCTCAGGTTTTCTGGGTCTCTATGTTTTTGGTTGGATAGGTTTCTCAATTTCTTTCTTAGGTTTTTGTTCTTCATCAAACCATTTGTTATTGTTGTTACTTTTCTTCGGTTTTCTGTTAGAGATTTTTTAGATTTGATAGGGAAGCTGAGAGGTCAAATATACTGTTTAGGTTTTCTACTGCCAAGTTTACACCTTCACTATTACAGTGGAACGTTTTGTCCAGGAAGTTGTCTAAAAGATATTGAATTTGTTGTTGCCTAATTGTTTTTTGGTAGGTTTCGACACTACTTTCCTTCCATTTATAGCATTTCTTAATTTTATTCAGTTCCTTTGTCTCTCTCTCTCTCTCTATTAAATGTAAGGGCTTTATTGGCATGGGAAACATATGTTTACATTGCCAAAGCAAGTGAAATAGATAATAAACAATTTTTTTAAAATCTCTCTCTCTCATACACACACACACACAGTCCAAAAATTGTCAGACTCCAGTCACCCAAGTCATAGACTGTTCTCTCTGCTTCCGCACGGCAAGCGATACCGGAGCGCCAAGTCTAGGTCCAAAAGGCTCCTTAACAGCTTCTACCCCCAAGCCATAAGACTGCTGAACAGCTAATCATGGCTACCCACACCTTTGTTTTTACACTGCTTCTACTCGCTGTTTATTATCTATGCATAGTCACTTTACACTGTATTTGCTCTGTAGTTCACAACAGGGCATGTGAGCGACATGTTTCACTTACACAGCAGCACAGCCCACTGTAATGGATGCTGTTGGTAAAAAAATGATAGAGGAAAGAGGATGTAGTTTTGTTATATGCTGATTTATACCGAAAAACGGTGTGGACAAAACATTAGGAACACCTGCTCTTTCCATAACATAGACTGACCAGGTGAAAGCTATGATCCCTTATTGTTGTCACCTATTAAATCCACTTTAATCAGTGTAGATGAAAGGGAGGAGACAGGTTAAAGAAGGATTTTTAAGCCTTGAGACATGGATTGTCTATGTGTGCCAGTCAGAGGGTAAATGGGCAAGACAAAATATTTAAGTGCCTTTGAACGGGGTATGGTAGTAGGTGCCAGGCACGCTGGTTTGAGTGTGTCAAGAACTGCAACGCTGCTGGATTTTTCACGCTCAACAGCTTCCCATGTGTATCAAGAATGGTCCACCACCCAAAGGACATCCAGCCAACTTGGCACAACTGTGGGAAGCATTGGAGTCAACATGGGCCAGCATCCCTGTGGAACACTTTCGACACCTTGTAGAGTCCATGCCCCGATGTATTGAGGCTGTTTTGAGGGCAAAAGGAGATGCAACTCAATATTAGGAAGGTGTTCCTAATGTTTTGTACACTCAGTGTATATTTCATAATACCTCCATTATGTGAAGGTATATCTGAGATGTGTAATAGGGCAAAACCCTGTTTATGTCCATGTTTCTGATCTGTGCTGCAGTGGTCAAAGTAATCTTCAGCCTGACTCCAATAGGATTGACTGAGTGTGAGGGTAAGCTGATGAGCTTGGTGTCGGCTGGTGTGTTCCTACAGACAAACAGATTGACTTTGCCTTATATTTATTTGCATTCACATAACTGCTCAATGATGCCTCTTGCATCACAGTGGCCTGTAGATGGAAGTCAGTGGAGGCTGCTGAGGGGAGGACGGCTCATAATAATGGCTGGAATGAAGTAAATGGAATGGTATCAAAAACATGGTTTTCATGTGTTTGATTCCATTAGACTCCATTCCATCCATTAGACTCCATTCCAGCCATTATTATGAGCCGTCCTCCCCTCAGCAGCCTCCACTGATGGAAGTATATCTCCATCTTAACCTATGCAAAGTTTTATTAGTGAAGACGAGTCTTATTCACTTCAAGTCCTTAAAGTTCTGAGCCTTACATGCATTTGCCTCACACATATGAGGAGAGTCTGATATAGAACAACTAGCTCAGCAGTATCAGCAGGATATTATTATAATAATATATGCTATTTAGCAGACACTTTTATCCAAAGCGACTTACAGTCGTGTGCATACATTTTTAAGTACAGGTGGTCTTGGGAATCAAACCCACTATCCGGGCATTAAAGCGCCATGCTCTAACAAATGAGCTAAAGAGGATGTTGCAGTAGGATGTTGGAGTTGCTACAGTATATATTAAGAGTCTAAGGACCTCTACTGATGTTGCAGTAGGATGTTGGAGTTGCTACAGTATATAGTAAGAGTCTAAGGACCTCTACTGCTGTTGCAGTAGGATGTTGGAGTTGCTACAGTATATAGTAAGAGTCTAAGGACCTCTACTGCTGTTGCAGTAGGATGTTGGAGTTGCTACAGTATATAGTAAGAGTCTAAGGACCTCTACTGCTGTTGGAGTTTCTACAGTATGTTGTGATGGCTTTATGTTTCTCTGCTATTCTATAGAGAGATTATATTTGACCCAGATCTCTCCTATTCTTTCTCTGTCATTTGTTCATTTTATTCATCATGTAGAAACATTAATTTTCATACTTGTTTTGCCAATGCTTTATAATCAATTCCAGAAGACAGAATGAGAACATGCGGGTCAAATTGGACCCCATTACATTCATGTGCTATTTAAGGTGCTATCTGATCAAAGAGGGTCACTACTGTTAACGTCCACACACTTACTGAGTAGGATGAAAACAAAGTAGAACAGCTTGAGAACAGGACTGAGGCAATAACCAGGTATGAATAAAACACAACAGTCATACCACAAAGATAATAACAGTCATACCACAAAGATAATAACAGTCATACCACAAAGATAATAACAGTCATACCACAAAGATAATAAAGTTCTATATTTCTCTTCTCCTCCTGCCTTCTTTCTGCAGATGTCCTTCCCAGGGAATGTCCACCTGGTGGTGGTCCTGCAGCCCACCAGCATCCAGACTTCAGCCAGGATGACTTCATGCTCAAGATGCCTGTAAGATGTGAAGATGATGAAACCAAGTCTTTTTAGGATTGTTAAGCAAATACCAATATAGTGTATAACGTGGTTAAGGGACAGTATGGGGTGATCACTGTGGATGTTGAACTAGTTGTTTCAACAGTCTGACGTAACATAAAGACTGTGAAGGGGTCTATTATAACAGTAATCATTTTACCCCCCCATAAAAATATATATATATATATTTTTTTTTAAATAATAATAATAATACAAAATATAAAAAAAAACAAAAAAAGTATTATTGATTCTGGTTGTCATGGTGGTTCTGTGTTGTACCCCTTGGTCTGCGACTCTGCGTCCCTCCACAGGTGGTCATGCTCAGCTCAGTTACAGACCTTCTTCGCTACATCGATGAGAACCAGCTGACCTCAGAGTTTGGTGGAACTCTGGAGTACTGCCATAGTGACTGGATTGTCCTTCGTACATTTTACATTTACCCTTTAGTCATTTAGCAGACGCTCTTATCCAGAGCGACTTACAGTTAGTGAGTGCATACATTTTTATTTTTTATACTGGAATCGAACCCACAACCCTGGCGTTGCAAATGCCATGCTCTACCAACTGAGCTACATCCCTACGGTAAACATGCATTCCCACAGTGTCACCTACAGCAACACGTCGATTATAGGCAGACCTGGTATTTTGGAATACTGTCCACATCAACAACATGTACACAATTAAACAGCAAGGCAGCCTAGATTTGCAATGTGGCCGAATACATAACAAATTAGGGCTTTTGGTAAAAGACAGAAATGCATTATCGTTTGTCTCCCTCTGCAGGCTATTGAGAGATTTGCTGTGACGGTAAAGGAGATAGCCCAGTTGTTCGGCACGAAGCTCGCTGAGACCGAGCTACCAGATGAGGCCGACGCCATCGAGTTCCAACTCAGGTCCCAAGCTGACCAAAACAGGCAGCTGAAAGTAAGACATCTCCCATGACAACCTTGAAAGTGTTCTTTCATTGTAAGTCTGTAGTAGTAGAGCATAGAGTAGAACTGAACAGTCAAATGTACAAGATGGCGCCGTACTGAATGGCTGCTGTTTTGCAAGCTCCAGCCCAACTTTGCTATTTTGTGATTATTTTGTAGTTTATTTTTACGAAATGTATCCGCTATTATTTCTTACAACCGACAATAAATGTTGAACATCAGATCGGTGTAAGGTTCTGTATTTATTTTCTTAGTCAACCTTGTGTTCTTGTACTTAGCCCTGTTTCTTTGTGTTCTTGAACGTAGCCCTGTTTCTTTGTGTTCTTGAACGTAGCCCTGTCTTTCATTTTTGTTCATTGATTTCACCTGTGTTAGTTGCTCACCTGGTCTCATTAGCTCCTTATTTAGTTCAGTTCATTCTGTTTGTGCCTTGTGAGGTATTGTTCGTTTTGACGCTACTAAACCTTTGCCTAGCTCGTTTGTGAGAACCAGTCCTAGTTTTTGATTCTCCTGCCTGTTTGCCTACCTGTGTATGACCATTGCCTGCCTGTGACCACGATTCCTGCCTTCTGCGAAATAAACACCTGCCGCGCTCTGCGTGTGAATCTACACCTTTTTCTTCCTGAGTATTCATTACAATCGGAAGTTACTCACCCCAATTCCGGCTTCTACTTCAACTCATCGGCCCTCTGTAATTTCAACCCAATTTTCGACCTACCCAAGAGGAAACCCCGGCGTTACAGAGACTAGATCCTGTGATGTTATGAATAACAGAATAACAATTATTTGCAGGATGACATCCGGTCAGTGATGAGGGAGGCCCGTTACCTGCTGTCCAACCTAGAAGCACGCAAGGCTGATGGCCAAGAGGATAGAGATATCAAACAGGACTGGGACACAGTACAGAGGTACAGTAAACGTGTATTATATATATTTATTGGTTGTCACATATTAATGATGCAACATAACAATCATTTAATTCTTCAGGCGTACTTTTAAAAAGATGGGTCACATGATAAAGTGTGTCCACGTTGGTGTGTAGTATATTTTGATCTCAGGTTATCGTGGTAATGGTAGCCATGCGGTTCTGGAGGGATTATTGTTTTGAGAGATTTAAGTGTCGACCTGTAGCTTGTGTTCCATCTGTTTCCCTCAGGCTTCTGGGCCAACTACGAGACATGGAGATGGGTTTTTTGAGAAGCGTCACCTGACGCTGCAACAGTACCTCCAATTGATGAGATTAGCTTTAATGAGGTCTGTTTAGAGTGGTAAAGTGTCAATCTGTGTTATATTGACCAACAAACGGTAATAACATTTTAGTGTCAAAAGTACTAACTTCCTTTTTGCTGTGGCTCAGATGGAGGAGACCCTGGAGCAGCTGATTGGTCAGGAGAAGGAGGTCGCTGCGGTGGGCGGACTGTGGCCAGACAGAACAGCTACTGAAAGACCTGGAGTCACTGGACACCCACGTACAGGTCATGGTCCGACTACATAATCTACCCGCGTACAGGTCATGGTCCCACTGCACAAACTACCCATGCACACTTTACCCTGATCTAGTACATCTTCATTAGATTATAGTTTCTGACAGAGAAACATAACCTACTCCAGACAGGTACGGTATGATGGGGTTTTGTGGTTGTTAGGAGGAGCTGGGCCGTGCCCAGATCATCCTGCACGGCCACCAATTACCACTACGTTCTGGCCCTGATCATCCAGTGCTGTAACGAGCTGCGACACCACTGTGACATGCTGACCACTGCCATCCGAGCCAAACTGGCTGCCCTCACCCTCAAACGCCACCTGCTGCTGCGTCTGGAGGAGGTATGCAAACACCTACACACACAATTATAACCCCATCCCTCCATATCCTGGTCCAGGGGCTCCTCCATCTAAGCAACAGGAAAAAGGAAGTTAGTCTGTGATGGTCAGTGTATCATGCTACCATGCGTTTTTGTCTGCCTTCAGGCCCGGCGCTGGTGTGACGAGGGGGCTTACCTCTTATCCAATCAGCTGGTAGATAAGTTCCAGTCCAAGGAGGGAGTGCAGGCAGCGCTGCAGGATATAGAGACTCCAGGAGGAGGCACCGTCGTGTCTGAGCTAAAGCCCTGATGTCCTCAGTCTGGAGTTTGAGGCCATCCTGACCCCTCAGCTACAGGTATACTGTACATCCCTGCTTCGGTGTCAGTCACTTTTCCACCCAGCCTTGCTCCAAGCCATCCCAAAGCGCTCTTGTATGACGATAACATCCGGTAACTGCCAACAAGGCAAACATTACATATTTCTGTCATCAATACTACAATGCAGCTACGGTAATGCTAATACTATCATTATCAACAACCTACTGTTGCCAGCACTTCCCAACTGTCTCCATCATGCAGATCAAATAGGCCTATCGACTTCTATCAGTAACATCTCCAATCGCTCTCACTCAGACTCAGATTGGGGTGGCCATTGAGATGCTGTCTGCCATGCAGGGAATGATCCACAACAGACAGGCGTGTCTGAGGAAGCTGGCTGACAATCAGGTTCCGGCCCATCCAGCTAGTGGCCCCTCCGCCTGAGCACTCTCCCCGATGCAAATCCCCCCCCCCCTTAGTACGTTACCATAAATACACAACTCTTACCCAGGCCTAAGGGACACTGGATGTAAATGTACAGTGACTTTTCAAATCAAAATCTAATTTTATTTGTCACATGCACCGACTACAACAGGTGTAGACCTTACCGTGAAATGCTTACTTACAAGCCCTTAACCAACAATGCAGTTTTAAGAAAATACAGTTAAGAAAATATTTACTAAATGCAAATAGTCCAGATGGACCTGCATTACTAGCTGTTTGGGGTTTTAGGCTGGGTTTCTGTACAGCACTTCGAGATATTAGCTGATGTAAGAAGGGCTATATAAAATAAAATTGATTGATTGATGGCCATTTGATTAATTGTTCAGCAGTCTTATGGCTTGGGGGTAGAAGCTGTTAAGGAGCCTTTTGGACCTCACACTGATTATTAGGTATGTTAGAAAAGATTTTTCAAGAATAATAGTGGACATTCAGCAGTGTGTCTCCCTCAAGTCAGGTAAAGTATAAAAAATAATAATAATAATATTGTTTGTGTCCTTATGTCTGCAGGTGTAGATTTCAACTCTCGGTTCTCTTTTGTCCTCTTACCTGGCAGCTCGGAAAACCCCTAGAATGGTGACAGTTGGGTTATTACACATGAAGATCAAAAGGTTCTGTAACATCTACTGCATTAATTAACTGACTTTGTCTGTTATCTGACCAGAACATTTAATCAGGTTCACATTTAATTTAATAAAGCAATTGCCCTTACTGGTGCTTCTGTCTCGCTCTTTCTCTCTGTGCATCTTGCTGACTGTGCTCTGTGTCTTCAGACACATAATGAAATAGCTTATTGAGACAGAGAGGATATATGTAGAGGAGCTGCTCTGTCTTGCTGGTAAGGTGTTTCATTTGAAAGTTGCACAGACACACAAACCACCCCAACGGGTACAGCATAAAAACCAAGTCTTCCCTAGGGTTATAGAGCAGAGATGGATAACCTTGTCCTCTCTAACCTTCTGTCCTGCGCAGCAAGAAGGAGGTCCTCTTTGGAAATATGCCAGAGATCTACAAATTCCACAGCAGGCAAGGATGTACACACATACATTCTCTTTCTCTCGCTCTCACACACACTGAACAACTGATGAGCAGAAGCTCTGACTCATTTTTTACAGAGTGAATAGTGTATTGATTGAAGTTAAGCCTGCCATGTCCGCCCCTCCTCTATGCAGGACCTTCCTCCAGGACTTGGAGTGCCTGGAAACTCCTGAGATGGTTGGAGCCTGCTTTTTACAACAGTGGAGCAAGCTTGTGATCACCCCTTTCTGACCCAGTGTCAGCATGTGTTATGTGGTCATCAGTCAGAGACACCTGTAACCATGCTTTTGAGATTTCTGTCATTTCAGAAAGAGAAGTTTCAGGTGTATGAGCACTACTGTCAGAACAAGCCACACAGAGTTGCTATGGAGAGAGTGCTCTGCTTGGCCATTCTTCCAGGTACTATGGCTAAGTGCACTGCCAAGCTTTATTGTTGACCTGAGATGCACTTCTGCTTACCTTCTGCTCCAGTTTGACCAGCCCGCTGAGGTCTTTGTCCACAGCTCCGGGGAGATCTACATAGTGGACGGGGACAGAGGGATGAACAACTGCCTCACCAAACTGTGGTTGATGCACTCTATTATAGGCCGTGTTCCAGACGGACTACATTGCAGACACATGCCAGATCTCAGAACGCCTGGATTAGTGTTTAACATATCAGTTAACCAAATCATATGATATAGCAATCTGATGCCTGACTGTTCAGTCTGACGTGGGCATAGAACCATTGGCTGATGCAATGCAACGTCTGCAATGTAGTTGGCCAGGAACACGACCATAATCATTCGGTAAGAGGTTAACGTGTATATTTAAATAGATTCAAATGAGCCAGGCAAAGCACTTATTGGACAAATCAAAGATGCCATTTTCTCCCTATACTGCTCATTTTAATAATTATTTACCCCAGGCTCACTAAGGCATAAAGTCCTGTGTATGAAACATGCTACACCAATCAGGAACTCTTAACCAGCTCTATATTTACTGTTTAGTTCTTATGGAGGTCTAGAAAAGTATTGCATGTCCAACTAACCAATCTCACTGGTCATTTACTTTAGTGGCTTGACGTTAAACCTCATGATACTAACTGTAAGTCGCTCTGGATAAGAGCGTCTGCTAAATGACAAATGTAAATATCCTTTAATCTATTGATAAAACGTTTATTTTATTTTTGATTTGAAGTTATAGTTTTGACGTCTTCTGGGTAGATTTGAGACATTTCAATCTTTCTGTGGCGATTTTAGCATGTAAATCTTGGTGGGGCTGACAAAAAAGAATGATGCATGCCAGCGAAGACACAACACAAACCAATACATTCATTGCAATATAACGGTGACAAACGGTGCCCACAAACTGTTCCAAAAGCAGAGCTTTCTTTTCAGAACCATGGAGTCCTTACCACTGCTATACCTGGATCTACTAGCTTCCATGTTGGGTGTTTGTTCCCCATGTTCTCTATTGTGGTGTGATCTGTCTGTCTGCATGCTAGTAGTTTGGTTAAACTACCTGTAGTTTTAAAGTCCCTTTTATCTGCCCCCTTTCCCTCTCTCTCCGAAGACATTCCCCCTATTCAACTCTCGGAGCAGACTCCTTTGTTTCCTCCCTCTACTGACAGATGATGCTTTTTGCATGTCCTCTCATGTCTCCATGTTTTACAATTTGCATGGTGAACAAAGAGACCATTGTGATTTCATGGAAATGTTAAAAAATGTAATCGGTCATAGGATGTGGGTTTGTTTGTGGATTTCCATCATAGCTTGGTTTCAACTCATCTCCAACCTACTGACTGTGATGTCAGGATTGTTTCTGTGGTGTGATCTAGAGCAGGAGTATTCAACTCTGACCCTACGAGGTCCGCAGCCTGCTGGTTTTCTGTTCTACCTGATCATTAATTGCACCCACCTGGTGTCCCAGGTCTAAATCAGTCCCTGATGTGAGGGGAACAATTAAACAAAGCAGTGGAACTGGCTTGGAGGTCCAGAGTTGAGTTTGAGGGGTCTAGAGGATAAGGTGCCTAGGGCCAAGCCTGTGACCATGTGGATATTGTGTTTCTACCCCATTCCTTTGCGACTTGGGACAGTCTGTCTCGTACGACAGTGTGCATGCCGTGGAGTCCCTGGCAGATCGCTGGCTGCTCAGGTAGTTTTGATGTCCTTCCTCACAGTAAGATCCCAGACCAGTCCCTCAGCACGGAGGAGGCCGCATCGTCAGGCCGCACTAGCCCCGTGGTCTTCTCCCCGTAGCCCCAGCACAATAACCGACGCAGTGAGTCAGCGTGGGAAACAGCTGCAATTTTGTCACACCAACTCACTTTAGTAGTAGAGCAGACTCCATGTCTATTAGATGGGCCTGTCAGTGAGGTTTTCCCACTGGAAAGTTCAGCATGTAACAGTGGAATTTTGTTTGTGTATTCAGTGGAAAGGTATTCTACATGAAGGGTTTTGAAAGTGTCTAACATAAGTGACATTTAGGTGTATAGTAAGTAATGAGGCCTTTGACTTGAGGGTGGTTGTATTTGAGAGGTTCTGTCTGTCAAACGTAGGTTGTGCTGGCACCTCCAACTCAGTGGACATTTTTGAGGGGTCCGGAGGACTGCAGCATGACTGACCTGTCAGACTCTGACGAGGATGACCACACTACTCCACTGGTGAGCCGGTCTAAACTTCATTGTAGTGTTTTTTTTAAACAGTTGGAAGTAATTGTTAATGTCAGACACTTAGTGCACTGTGTAAAATATGATGCTATTGTCATTCTGTGTTTTATTACTGATCTTAAGGTCACATTCGTCCCTCTCGCAGGTTCCTGGGAGGTACAGGGCCCTGGTGGAAAGTAGTGTGTGTGTAGTACAGATGACCTCATCATTAAGTGTGGTGATGTCATCTAGCTGCTGCATCAGGACACTGTAGGGAGGTGGTAAGGCACAGTAATATCACTACCACTCTTACTGTTAGTTGCTGTTGTTACTACTCTAGTACTCCTGGTTCTCTCTCTGTCAGGCTTGTGAGGAATGTCAGTCGTTGTGATGAGGGGCGCTCATGCAGGATAGGAGGTGAGGGGTTCCCAATGGACCACTAGTAGAGATCACTGTTCTTGTCGTTATATTAGCATGGATGAATGTCCTCATACCTGCGCATTAATCTTACTACCTATATGTTTTCGTTTACTCTTCCAGGGAATGAGATAACCAGGAAGCTCAGCTCTCTGAGTGAACCATGTGCCATCCATCCTCAGTCTGGACACAAAGACACAACTCCTGTCATCACAACTGTCGTCGTGCTGCTATCATTCCCATCCAAGGTCATGTTGCCTGGAGTCTCTAGAGGCCTTCAACATGCTGCCGGAGACAGACCAGTTATCAATCAAACCACAGGATCTGAAGGGTCAGCAATGTCTTCTTGCCTTCTGTCTCCACCAATGAAATACACTGCTCAAAAAAATAAAGGGAACACTAAAATAACACATCCTAGATCTGAATGAATGAAATAATCTTATTAAACACTTTTTTCTTTACATAGTTGAATATGCTGACAACAAAATCACACAAATTATCAATGGAAATCAAATTTATCAACCCATGGAGGTCTGGATTTGGAGTCACCCTCAAAATTAAAGTGGAAAACCACACTACAGGCTGATCCAACTTTGATATAATGTCCTTAAAACAAGTCAAAATGAGGCTCAGTAGTGTGTGTGGCCTCCACGTGCCTGTATGACCTCCCTACAACGCCTGGGCATGCTCCTGATGAGGTGGCGGATGGTCTCCTGAGGGATCTCCTCCCAGACCTGGACTAAAGCATCTGCCAACTCCTGGACAGTCTGTGGTGCAACGTGGCGTTGGTGGATGGAGCGAGACATGATGTCCCAGATGTGCTCAATTGGATTCAGGTCTGGGGAACGGGCGGGCCAGT